ATCCTCAGTTCTCACCCTCCGGAGTAGCTCGAATTACAGGCGTGAGCCACCACACCCAGACAGATTTTTTCTTTTTCTTTTTTTTTTGGGGGGGGTCCTGTCCTGGGGCCTGAAATCTGAGCCTGGGCACTGTCCCTCAGCTCTTCAGCTCAAGGCTAGCGCTCTACCACTTGAGCCACAGCCCCACTTCTGGCTTTTTTTTCTTTCTGCTTATGTGGTGCTGAGGAATCCAACCCAGGGCCTCATACATGCAAGGCAAGCGCTCTACCACTGAGCCACCTTCCCAGCCCCCAGCCAGATTTTTTTCTACCAGAGGGTTTATGGGAGAGGAACAAACCCACTGACCCATCCCAGCCTCTAAACTAGGCACGCTGAATTAAAGGAAGACTGGCTAGCATGCAGGGTGGGTGGATGCAATGGACTGAGTCACCCCACTTCCCTTACCCAAACGGAGCGGTAATCTCAGGCCATACCTCTGCTCACCAAGTAGCCAGCATGAATGTTGCTCTTGGTTGGGATTAAGGACAGTGCTCCTATCTCAGGGGAAGGGAAGGGGAGACAGCCTGGCTTTTGGAGGGCTCAGATTGCTGTTTCCCTGTGGCTCTGGTTCTGGCAGCTGACCCACAATAGCATTTCAGGGCTACTTGTGATCTCAGCAAGCTTGAGGTTGAACTGCTACACAGCACCCCAAGCCAGCACCTTGCTGTTTAACACTCCCTTGAATACCTCAGCAGGGTCCCAACCTCTCAGCTTCGATCAGGCAGAGGTTAACTGAGTTTTCCTTGGATCAGTCAGCCAGATTGGCCGGCCAGTGACCTAGTCCCCACCTTTGCTGGTTCCTCTCTGAAACAAGAGAGAAGGGCAGAGGCTGATCAGGTGAGGCTTGCTGGTCAAGGATGAAAGAGAGAGATTCTAGACCTTCATGCCTTTAGCGATACCTGTGGGAAGATGCAAAGTGATCCAAGTCCAGCCTGGGTGGGCAAAACATTCACATTGTTCAAAGATGGCGTTGGGTCATACAGACTTGCCATGGAAAAGTAAAAATGAGAGAAGCAACTGGTGGGCTAAGGAAAGACAGAAGTCTGAGAGCCTCTGGCTTCCTCCTCCCAGAACAGAGCTGTTCCACCCACAGCCCTGAAATTCAGAGAATATCCTCAGAGGGCCCCTCCGAGCCAAGATCAGAATCCCTAGAGTCCTGCATTCAAACTCAGAGTTTTTTGTTTTGTTTTCTCCTGGCTCTTCAGCCTCTCTTGGAATTGGGAATAGTAGATCTCAGGGCTTACGGGGGAGTGGAGTAGGGATGTTTCCCCATGGAGGTCAGTATGGCAGGTACCCGAGCTTCTCCCCCAGATAGAAGGAGGAACTTAGAAGGCCCAGGACAAGGATGGGCAGATGATGTGTCATTCATGCTGCTTTGCTTGCTCTTTGAAGGAAACTCTCAGCATCCTGTCAAACAAGGGGAAAGGCGTTGCCTTCGCTGACTCTGGTGCCCAGTGGCAACTGCATAGGAAGTTGGTGCTGGGCACCTTTTCCCTGTTTAGGGATGGTGACCAGAAACTGGAAACGATCAGTGAGTACCTGGCTGGCCCTGGCCCTGGGGCTTATTTCACTGGGGTAGGGGAATGAGGGTTAGGAGTCCAGACATTTCTTGGTGACTGCTGCCATCTAGTGGTCATATTGTATCTGTGTCCTGCCAAAGAGGGAGCTGATGGGGGAGCGAGGATGTTGATTTTGTGCCCCTCTCTCCCCTCAGTATGTCGGGAAGTCAATAGTTTGTGTGATTTTCTGGCCACCTGCAATGGAAAGGACATAGATTTGTCTGAACATGTCTTCATGTCGGTCATCAACATAATCTCCTTGATCTGCTTCAACCTGTCTTTCAAGAGAGACGATCCTACGTTGAGGCTCATGAAGAACTTTACAGAGGGCATCTTGGATAGTCTGGGCAAAGAAACTCTGGTGGACATATTCCCCTGGTTGAAGGTGAGGATGAAGCTAGGCCATGTCCCCAATTCTTTTGCTGTCCAGCTCCAAACTCATCTTTTATCCCTGACCACCTCTTCTTTGTGTCTTCTAAACTTGGCCTTTTTACCACATAAATGGATCTGGATATTTAATCAAGCATTTAAATCTTCATGGTCATGAGTTGTTCATTTTCCAATAAAGCTTTCTGCATGTGTTCACCATTCCTTTCCCCTTGGAGAGAGATTATTATCCTCAGTGTGCTGGCAGGAAAATAGCTTTAACCAAGTTAAGGAACGTGCTCAAGTCACGGGACTTAAGTCCTCCTTACTTCTCAGGGCTACCTACAGTGGACTGGGCACACAGCATGGTCAGGGGTTGCTGAGTGACTGAAGGAAAGAGGAAGGGAAGAAGAGGCCACCCCTTCTTTCCTTATGTGGACTTGTCCCAGTCCTGGATGATCCCATTGTATCCGGTTTGCCCCCCTCTTCCCCCCGCCCCCGCCCCATGATGGCTGAAGGTCAGGTTTAGAATGGGACCTTTCCCTGAGACCAGAAAGCTTAGGCCCTGCTGGAAACGCCAAATGGAAGAAGGGAGGATTTGACATTTCTTTCCGTTCTCCAGATTTTCCCCAATAAAATCCTAGACGAAATAAGGAAGCATGTTAAAATTCGAGATGAAGTGCTGGGTGAAATAGTGAAAAAGCACAAGGTAGGTGTGTGGAGGAGCCAATGAAAGTGGGTGAGGCTGAGGCCGTGATGGCGGGGTGAGAGCACATTTTGGATGCTTGGAAGAGCCCCAGGGCCTAGCAGAAAGTCTGGGACTTGGCAGACAACAAACACTGGCCTACCAAACTCCTGGGAGTGGGGAAGTGAGAAATGAGAAAGGATTCTAACCCGCTCCCCAAGTGAGGAGGACCCAGTTGTCTCTCCTATGTGTGGATTCCGCCCAGCCCCACTGCATGTCCAAGCGTAAGGAGCTTTGCTAATCTGCCATCTAGAATGCAGGTATGTGGAAGAAAGGGCTATTTCCTCATGACTGGCTTCCCACCTTCTCCCAACCTAGGAGAAATTCCAAAGCGACTCTATCAACAGCCTGCTGGACATCCTGATTCAAGCCAAAATGAATGCAGACAACAACAATCCTGGCCCCGATCAAGATTCAAGTATACTCACAGATAAGCACATCCTCGCGACCATAGGGGACATCTTTGGGGCTGGCGTGGAGACCACCACCTCTGTGGTGAGTTGGATTGTGGCGTTCCTGCTGCACAACCCTCAGGTGAGCTGCTCTCCACGCCTGCCCTCCTCCTCTCCCTAGAATCCAGTCAGCCTGACTGACCTCTGTGATCCAGACAGGAGAGGCAATGACCTTTGACCTTCTCTGCAGGAAGGCTGAGCCCTGGGCTAGCTCTGGCCCTGGGTTTAAATGATCTCATCTTCTAGAAGCAGAGCTGAGGTTGGGGGACCCTTTCTGGGAATGGGGGTGGGGCTGCTGGATGTGACCCTTTGGGTGCTACTAAACATGCCATTCACTTAGGCTTAAACCTCCTGATTATATGCATTTTGTTCCAACCCTCAGGTGAAGAAGGAAATCCAGGAGGAGATTGATCAGAATATAGGTTTCAACCGGATGCCAAATTTCAGTGACCGAACCCATCTCCTCCTGCTGGAGGCCACCATTCGAGAGGTGCTTCGCATCAGGCCCGTGGCCCCAGTGCTCTTCCCCCACAAGGCCCAAAGCAAATGCAGGTGTGCTTTCCTTCCCTACCTCTATGAGACAGCCAGCTCTGCTCACCAGCCCACCGGTTCCCCATGCATGCCCACCCACCCAGCGTCAGCGTCTATCAGCCATGCTAGCCCTGGCCCTTCTGACCCATGCATCACTCCACCCCTCCCCCCCCTCAGTGAAGGAAGCCACAAATCCACTGAGCTTCCCTCAGAGGCTGAAGGCTGGATTCTGGGATAAGAAGACTTTGTCCTATCCAGTCCAGTGGCGTACAGGGCTGGATTCATGGTTGATGGGGCAAGAGTGGAGGGAAAGATGAACCAATGGGAAAGAGGGAACGGGACATGTTGTGACATGGGGCCAGGCAGGAAGGGGAGAGCCATGTTCTAGATCCTTTCTTCTCCCTCTCTGGGGCAGCATTGGCGAGTTCACGATCCTCAAGGACACACAAGTGATCATCAACTTGTGGGCACTGCATCACAACGAGCAGGACTGGCAGCAGCCAGAAAAGTTCATGCCCGGTGAGTTCTTGTCCCACCCCATCCCAGTCTTCTCCCCAGACCACACAGCCAGTCTAGACTTCACTAGGACCACCCAGCACCCTTTCCCCTCTCCAAAGCTTGCTACTAGAAAATTCTCAGCTCCATCCATCTTGGACCTGTTACCATCCTCATCCCACTGTCGGCTGTTCCAGACTCCTTGCTGCTGTATTTCTCTCTCTCCCTTTTGCAAATTTGCTCCTTAGAGAAATCCTAGAGGCATCTGTCTCCCAGTAAACCTGCCCCTCTCCTCCCAGCTACTTTTCTGTGGTGTTATTAAGGGCTCAGGAACATGGCTGTGTCTTTGCTTGAATGGGATTCCTGGGCAGAAACCTGGCCTGGCCCTTGGCTGATGGCTCCCCTTTCCCACAGAGCGCTTCTTGGATCCAACAAAGAAACAGCTCATCACACCCTCGTTAAGCTACCTGCCTTTTGGAGCTGGTCCCCGCGCCTGCTTAGGAGAAGCCCTGGCCCGCCAGGAGCTCTTCCTCTTCATGGCCACCTTGCTGCAGAGGTTTGACCTTGAGCTGCCGGATGATGGGAAGCTGCCCTCTCTGGAAGGTGACCCCAAAGTGGTCTTTCTGATTGATCCTTTCCAAGTGAAGATCAAGGTGCGCCAGGCCTGGAAGGAAGCCCAGGGTGAGGAGAGCACTTAACACGCTAACATCACCCTGTGCGGCACCACAGCGCAGAATTAAGAGTGCTTTCTCTTATAATTCTACTCTCCCCACCTGCAGCAAGGGCAGGTGATGTATATAAACCCACCCGTGTTTTATTAGAAAGTCCCTGAGCATGTGCTCCTTTGCTCATTCTGTCCACAAACATTTTATTGAGTGCATACTATGGGACATTCGGCAGCTTCCTGGTCTCATGAAAGTCACATTCTAGAGAAAGCTGAGAAAGAAATAAACAAGAACTTCAGAGACTCATAAATGCCTTGAAGTTGATTCTACTGGGTGATGTGGGAAGAGTGGCCACTGACAACACGGGACCTGAGGTGGGGTGAAGATGCCAGGGAAAGTGATGGGTGGGGGCGGGGATGAAGACATCAGGGAAAGTGACCAGTGTTGAAGAAGCAGGTGACAAGGCTTCCGGGTGGGAAAGGTCTGAATAGCAGAGAGAATGAACTGGAGAGCAAACACAGTTGGGGCCAGATAGGACCTTTGTAAGGAGTAGGGAGTTCAGGTTTTTACTCAAATATTGGAAGTCATCTGTGGGTTGTCCTCCATATGTAAGTGCAAACATTTTTTTTTGGGGGGGGTCAGTCCTGGGGCTTGAACTCAAGGCTTGGACACCGTCCCTGAGTTTCTTTTGCTCAAGGCTAGCACTCTACCACTTGAGCCACAGTGCTACTTCTGGCCTTTTCTGTTTATGTTACTGAGGAATCGAACCCAGGGCTTCATGCATGCTAGACAAGCACTCTACCACTAAGCTACCTTTCCAGCCCAGTGCAAAGATTTTTGTTGTTTTGTGCTTTGCTAGTACCATAGCTTGAATTCAAGGCCTCGTGCTTGCTTGGTTTACTTGTCCACAGCTAGTACTCTTCCACCTGAGCCACACCTCTGGACCAGCTTCTTGCTGGTTAATTGGAGATAAGGTCTTCCGAGGACTTTTCTCCCTGGGTTGGCTTCAAACCACAATCTTTTGATCTCGCCTCCTGAGTAGCTAGAATTAAAGGTGTGCATTTACCAACACTCAGCTTGACTTTTGTTGTTGTCAGTTGTAGGGTTTAATCTCAAGGTCTGGGCACTGCCCTGAGCTCTTTTTGCTCAAGGCTAGTGCTCTGCCAGTTTGAGCCACAGTGTCACTTCCTGTTTTCTGGTGGTTAATTGGAGACAAGAATCTCAGGGATGCTCCTGCTCAGGCTGGCTTTGAACCTCCATCTTCAGATCTCAGCCTCCTAAGTAGCTAGGATTACTGGTGTGAGTCACCATCACCCGGCTTGGTTTGTATTTTTAAGAGTTCATAGTGACTGCATGGAGAACGGTCTCCCATAGACTGATTGTGGGAGCAGGAAGAACCATTAAGGGGGGCTGGGAAGGTAGCTCAGTGGTAGAGCGCTTGCCTCGCATGCATGAGGCCCTGGGTTCCATTCCTCAGCACCACATAAGCAGAAAAAGCCTAAAGTGGCGCTGTGGCTCAAGTGGTAGAGCGCTAGCCTTGAGCTGAAGAGCTGAGGGACAGTGCCCAAGCCCACAGTTCAGGCCCCATGACCAAAAAAAAAAAAAAAATTAGGAAGGAGATTGTTGTGTTGGTCCAGGAAAGCAACACAGTGAGGGCTTAGACCATGGCACAGCAGTGAGCAGGTTGATTGAGGTTTATTTTGAAAGTAGAGGAACAGATCTTGTCTGCTTACATCTAAGCACATGGCACTGTACTCACTGCATAGGCTTGGCCTCATAGGTGTGTGTGTATTACCCACAGGTTGGGCCTATCACAGCCATCTTTGTCCCCAAGGGTGGGCATGGCCTCTTTCCCACACCCTGCCTAGGGGGAGGAGTAAAGTCCGCCAGCTCCCTTCTCCAGCAGTACTAGGATCTGCCCCTTTTCCCGGAAGTCTGAGCTGCCTCCTTACTGGAAGCTAGAACCCATATTCCTTTAGACCTTGAAAGGTGCATCTTCAAACCTTAGCTACTAGCTAGGCTCTAAGACTGTCTCCAGACAACCCAGGAGAAACTAATCTAGACCTTAAACCTAGAGACAGGCTCCATCCCTAGTTCCTAGGTGCTAGCCAGACCAGGGTCAGAACCACCACATCCTTCCCCCCATCTCTAGAAGGACCAACAGGGTCCTGGCTGGCTTAAGTTTTCAGACTGAAGAAATCAAGAGGGCTGACAGGGAGCTGGTACACAGTGTCTCATGCCTGTAATCATAGCTACTCAAGAGGCAGAGACATCCCTCCCCCACGGTATAACCTGTTTTCACTGTATTTGATGTTGATATAATTTGTGGAGGGAAAGGGAAAAAAACAATTGTTTAAACAGGGATACAGGTGGACCCATTGCAACAATGAGATGTACAAAGTGTAATGTCGAAAATGAACTTTACAATTTTGGCACGGGGGGGGAGATGGGAAGGGATGGGAAGGGGAAACAAAGGAGGTGGTAACAATGCTTGGCTGGTGGCTCACGCCTGTAATCCTAGCTACTCAGGAGGCTGAGATCTGAGGATCGCGGTTCAAAGCCAGCCCGGGCAGGAGAGACCGTGAGACTCCTATCTCCAATAAACCACCAGAAACCGGAAGTGGCGCTGTAGCTCAAGTGGTAGAGCGATTGCCTTGAGCTGAAGAGCTGAGGGACAGCGCCCAGGCCCAGAGTTCAAGCCCCACAACCGATAAAAAAAAAAGAAATGCACTCATGGGCTGGGAAGGTGGCTCAGTGGTAGAGCGCTTGCCTTGCATGCATGAGGCCCTGGGTTCAATTCCTCAGCACCACATAAGCAAAAAGAAAAAAGCCGGAAGTGGCACTGTGGCTCAAGTGGTAGAGCACTAGCCTTGAGCTGAAGAGCTGAGGGACAGCGCCCAAGCCCAGAGTTCAGGCCCTACAACTGGACCCCCCCCCCAAAAAAAAAAGAAAAAAAATGCACTCATTACCTTGCCCATGTAATTGTAACCCATCTCTACGGTATTTTCACCAAAAAAAAGAGGCAGAGATCTGAGGATGGCAGTTTGAAGCCAGCCTGGGTAGGAAAGTCTTCGAGACTTTTCTCCAATTAACTACCCAAAATGCCAGAAGTGGAGCTGTGGCTCAAGTGGTAAAAGCGCTAGCAAAAACAAGAAAACTCAAAGATAGTGCTCAGGCTCTGAGTTCAAGTCCTAGGACCAGCACTGAGAGAGACAAAGACAGAGACAGAGATGAGATGGATAAGGATTTCAATTACAACAGCATCTTCATGCTTAATACAAGCTTTGTACATCCAGGGTAGTAAACCATCCTCTGCTGTGTTCCCAACTCAGTCTTGGCGTTAAGCAGCCAGTGACCTGGAATCATTCTCAAGAGCCCAGAGCGGAGTTCGTGGGTGGTAGTGCCAACCTCAGCCCCCCTCACAATCTGCCTGGAAGAGAAGCTACCACGGTGAGCTGAAGGGACTGGTGATGCTGGAGGTAGCCCCTCCCATCTCCCTGGCTCCTCTGCCCCAGCAGGCTGCTGAGCTAGAGCCAAAGCGTTCTCAGCTCCAAGCAGAGGGGGGAGGACCAGTGCAGAGAGAGCAGAGTACTTAAAACTCACTAGAATTTAAAAGGTGGACTAGTGAAAGGTAATAAATTTGTGGACTTGTGATAAATAATCAATTAGCAGATGGCCTATGTTCTTTGTGGAAGCAGGGGGTAAGTTGAATGCGGTGGAAAACAACCTGTCTTCAACCACTGAGTTAGAACACTGAATGGAAGAGAAACAAGACAAACCCTTTGTTTTGAACATGAGAGCCATCATAGAGTGGTCTGTGCGCATGCGTGTGACAGTTACTTAGCAGCAGGGCTGGGACCAGAACCCAAGATTTCAGTGATGTAAGCTTTCCTGCCTGTCACTAGATGTCATGCAGGGGGCTTTCTGGGTGGTTAGCCAGGGAAAGTATTTTTCTGAAAAGTTGTATTCTTTTAGCGTATAATCGCATTGGCTGAGAGTGCCTTCTCACCTTCATCCCAAGATCCTTGTACCCTTCGGGCTCAAACGGAACCGCAAGACATAGGATTTCCAGTTCCCCATGGTTGCCTTGTTAACCCTGGATCTCTGTTTCTGGGCACTAAGCCACATGAAGATCTGAGCATCTGCCTGGATTTGAACCAAGTATGATGTGTGTCCATCCAGGGCCATGACCATCCTGTTTCTAGAGTTCAAGACTGAGCCCTCTTGTGCTCTTTATCCTACATAGCAGCACCTGACAAAGTTAGGCAAACAAAAGGGCACAAATGTCTTAAATCAGTACTTGAAGCCTCAATCTTGGATCTCAGGAAACTTACAGTAGAAGAAACACTGCAACTTTGGCAAAAGCAGCAAGGTATATGCCAAGATTACGTGAGTGTACATAAAGTGTTGAGGGTCAAACTCAGGGCCTCATGCATTCATGCATGACAAGCAAATACGAGCTACAGCCCAGTCTCTTCAGTCACCCCTTCTGGCCCTACACTGTCCAGTAGTAAAATGGTAAATAAATGTTTAAGCCACTAGCTCTTTGAGGACCTGGTACCAAATACTTTGGCTTTCTTAAACTTCAGTTTTACCATCTGTGTTATGAGTGTGTGTAATATGGAGGAGAATGACCAGATGGGTGTAGAAATAGTTCCTGTGGCCAGGTGCTGGTGGCTCACACCTGTAATCCTAGCTACTCAGGAGGCTGAGATCTGAGAATCACGGTTCAAAGCCAGCCCGGGCAGGAAAGTCTGTGAGACTCTTATCTCCAATAAACCACTAGAAAAATGAAGTGGCGCTGTGGCTCAAGCGGTAGAGTACTTGCCTTGAGCTGAAGAGCACAGGGAAAGTGCCCAAGCCCAGAGTTCAAGCCCCATGACTGACAAAAAAAAGAAAAAAATAGTTCCTGTGTTGCTCTGAAAAATCATTTGATTTTCTACCCACAAAAACCTTTGGTTCCTCAGTAAACACTGGCTTTATCATCTATTTACCTCCCAAGTCCACAAGATAAGTCCTTCTCTGAGGGTTTT